TGTGCTTCCTTGGTGAAGGGGGCACGTTCATTTATTAATCCAGTATCCATTAAGGTCATTCTGCCAGGCGGGGGGGTGGGGCAGGGGTGGGGGAGGGGTGGCTGGCGAGGACACAAAGATGACTGCCCTAGGGGAGCTCACAGCCTCACGCACGTTTTCTCTCCCCTCCCCACAGGTAAGGCTGGCCTCTCTGCCCTCAGAGGTCTGAGCTCTGCCATGGGGGTAGGGGTGTCTTTACTGCTGCAGTTTTCTCTGACGTCTGGGGACTACCAGAGTGTGGGCGGAAGCCGGCGCTCCAGCCGCAGGAACATCCCCGGGAGGAGCTGGAAAAAGCCTCATCTCCAGCTCCACAGCCTCCAGGGTAGAGTGTGGCCTTCTTTGTTGGGTTCTCGAACCATTCCATGGCCCCCCGTGCTCAGGCCTCCCCATCCTGGTGGAAGGAGGGCGCCTGTGGGGAAGGGGTCACGTTCTCACATCCTGGGAGTCTTCCCTGTGCTCATTCTGACCGTTGGGAATGAGTCATGTCTGTGCTGCTGGAGAGGAGTACAGGCTCTGCGGAAATGAGGAGGATGTGTCTGGAACTTGTGAGCAGGCAGTGAAGGTCCCGCGGAGTCTGTCCGTCACTCCACCCTGCAGGAATCTGCGCTCCCAGGCGGAAGAGCCGAATGTGGGGCAGCCCCTGGCGGGGTTGGGGCAGGACCGGTAGGGGCCAGAGATTACAGTCTCTTCCTCCCCTTTTCTTGCCCCAATAATCCCCATCACCCGAGGGAGGCAGGCTGCGGGTGTTCCTGGGATTCAAGAGCGCTCTCCTTCCTGCAACGGCCTAATTGGGTGTGTGGGGGGGGGGTGGAGGAGGGCAGGCGGGGAGAATGTGGGCACAGTCTGGGCAAGCAGTGGCCTGGCATCATGCTGGGCTGGCAGTTACATCCGGTGTTCCCCCTCCTGGTCCTGAGAAGGGCCGCTTTCACTGGCGCTCCAGGCTGCTCCCGTGAGAGACCGAGGTTAGGGAGGCCAAAGTGCCTTCCCCAAGATTGGATTAGATTAGAGCCCAGGAGAGGATCACAGGAATGAGAGGCCACTGGAATTTCTGTGAGATCTTTACAAACTCAGGTATTTTAGAGGAAAGGACACTGGCCTCTGGGAGTTTAGAAGACTTGTCCCCTAGTCTTGATCCTGCTGTTGGTTTACTCTGTGCCCTCGGGCAAGTCCCATCACCCTGTTATGCCTCACCTTTGCTCCATCTGTGAAACAGGGAACTTAATATCTCTGGTCCAGCCTCACCGCGTTGCTGTAAAGCTCCCATATGGCAACAGGAAATAGTAGAAATAAGGAGAGGGCAGAAGGGAAGTACTTGGAAAAGCGTAAAGCGCTGTAGGGAGAGGTGACTGCGTTTTCTGGTCCGTCCTAAGGCAGGAATGTTCATACAGCCAGCACTGGAGTGTCTACTCCATGCCAGACACGGGCTGAGGGAGATTCCAGGGAGTGTCAGGGTTCTTCCTTCTGGTAGTTTCCAGGGTCAGTAAAGACTTGATTAACCCAAAGACTGAGTTCTCCACTGGATATAATAGTAACTTGATAGTGCTATGTTTTCTGGATGGAGATACAAGCCACTCATACCCGTGATTAGTGATGTGGGAAAGTAAAAATAAATTTAAATATCTTCCAACTTAAAAAAAAAAAGACTTAATTAACGACAGATATACTTGAAATGGTATCTGGAAGCCCAAGATTTAAATCATATAATACAAGGAAATAGAAGAGTAGTCTAGTAGTCTAGATTCCAGGGCTCCGGGAGTGGAGAGGGGCGAGCTCCTCTTGGGCCTGGGGTCTGCAGGGGAGGAGCTGGGGGCAGGCTGTGTGGCTCTGTAGAGTGACTGTGCCTTTCCACCCCCAGCAGAGGAAGAACCGATGCTGGAACGTCGCTGCAGGGGCCCCGTGGCCATGGGCCCTGCCCAGCCCCGACTCCTTTCTGGGCCCTCCCAGGAGTCGCCCCAGACCCTGGAGAAGGAGCCCCAAGGGCTGAGGTCACAAGGCACTGCCGTGGCCCAGTCGAGCAGCCAGGCCTTAGGTCGGGCCCATCGTTGTGCCCACTGTCGAAGGCACTTCCCGGGCTGGGTGGCCCTCTGGCTTCATGCCCGGCGCTGCCAGGCCCGGCTGCCCCTGCCCTGTCCCGAGTGTGGCCGTCGCTTCCGCCACGCCCCTTTCTTGGCACTGCACTGCCAGGTCCATGCCGCTGCCACCCCAGACCTGGGCTTTGCCTGCCACCTCTGCGGGCAGAGCTTCCGAGGCTGGGTGGCCCTGGTTCTGCACCTGCTGGCCCACTCGGCGGCAAAGCGGCCCATCGCCTGTCCCGACTGCGAGAGACGCTTCTGGCGGAGAAAGCAACTTAGGGCCCATTTGCGGCGCTGCCACCCCCCGGCGCCCGAGGCCCGGCCCTTCATATGCGGCAACTGTGGCCGCAGCTTCGCCCAGTGGGACCAGCTGGTTGCTCACAAGCGGGTTCACGTGGCCGAAGCCCTGGAGGAAGCGGCGGCCAAGGCCCTCGGGCCTCGGCCTCGGGGCCGTCCTGCGGTGACCGCGCCCCGGCCCGGTGGAGATGCCGTGGACCGTCCCTTCCAGTGTACCTGCTGCGGGAAGCGCTTCCGCCACAAGCCCAACCTGATCGCCCACCGCCGCGTGCACACAGGCGAGAGGCCCCACCAGTGCCCTGAATGCGGGAAGCGCTTCACCAATAAGCCCTACCTGACCTCGCACCGGCGCATCCACACGGGCGAGAAGCCCTACCCGTGCACTGAGTGCGGCCGCCGCTTCCGCCACAAACCCAACCTGCTGTCGCACAGCAAGATCCACAAGCGCTCCGAAGGGTCTGCCCAGGGTGCCCCCCGCTCGGGGAGCCCCCAGCTTCCCGCCGGCCCCCCGGAGCCCTCGTCACAGCCCGCCGCGGAGCCCCCGCTGAAGCCGGCCCCGGAGCCTTTGGAGGCCCCAGGGGAGCCCCCCGGCCACCGGGCGGAGGCACCGCCCTCTCTCTACAGCTGCGAGGACTGTGGGCGGAGCTTCCGGCTGGAGCGCTTCCTGCGGGCCCATCAGCGGCAGCACACGGGCGAGCGGCCCTTCACCTGCGCCGAGTGCGGGAAGACCTTCGGCAAAAAGACCCACCTGGTGGCCCACTCCCGGGTCCACTCAGGCGAGCGGCCCTTTGCCTGTGAGGAGTGCGGGCGCCGCTTCTCCCAGGGGAGCCACCTGGCCGCCCACCGGCGCGACCACGCGCCGGAGCGGCCCTTCGTCTGCCCGGACTGCGGGAAAGCTTTCCGCCACAAGCCCTACCTGGCCGCACACCGGCGCATCCACACCGGCGAGAAGCCCTACGTCTGCCCCGACTGCGGCAAAGCCTTCAGCCAGAAGTCCAACCTGGTGTCGCATCGGCGCATCCACACGGGCGAGCGCCCCTACGCCTGCCCCGACTGCGACCGCAGCTTCAGTCAGAAGTCCAACCTCATCACCCACCGCAAGAGCCACATCCGGGACGGCGCCTTCTGCTGCGCCATCTGTGGCCAGACCTTTGACGACGAGGAGAAGCTCCTGGCCCATCAGAAGAAGCATGATGTCTGAGGGGGCAGGGGCGGCGGCGGGGGGCCGAGGGAGGTCGGGCCTGGGCGTCATTCATACTGTACCCTGTGCTACTGCTTGTAGGCAGGGAGGGGAGAGGAGGAGTGAGCCTGCCCCGTTAGAGAGGGGGGTCCTCTACCCCTGCAGTCAGGGAGTCCACTTGCAGAGCAGGGACCCCGGCCTCCAGCTGGTGTTTGTTAAGGTTCAGTCCTGACTGCCCTGCGCCCTGGAAAAGTAGCAATAGCAGCTCCACCCACCCCTTAGAGCCCTCCGGCCGGAGGGGCCACCAGTGGACAGGAAGACCCCTCTCCTCTGGTGTTAACGCCTTAATGTCTCTGTCATTATGAGTTCCTTCAGCTCGTTTTTTTGGAAGTAGGTGTGGTTCAGTCCTTAGTGAATGAGCGCCCGGGAGGAAAAGTGGACGAGATGGATATACCTGGGAGAACCTGCCGGCCTCGGGCGGCACCTGGGCCTTTTCCAGTACTGCGAGGCGAAGCCGAGCTGCTCCAGCCTGCCTCACCACATCCCCTCCGTCCTGCCCCTGCACAGGCACCCAGATTTGGAGAGACCCATCTACTGTTAGTGCTTGGTTCGCCTTCCTCCCAGAGGATCCAGTCCCCTGCCCTGGGCATTTCCCCATCTGTCTGACTTGCTTTACCCACCAGCCTCCCAGTGCTTAGGGCATCCCCTGGCTGGCAGCCACCCTGCGTCAGGGCTTTTGTCTGAACACCGCAGCCTGCCTTCACTCCCTTCAGAACTCAGCATTTAGTGGGGAGGACTGCCCCATTGATAACGTGGGGCCAGCTGATGGGAAATGAGGGTGAGTTTCCCCTTCAGCATTTCTAGCGTCTGGATGCCCAACCTCTGCTTGAATACTTAGGTGACAGGGAGTTTCCCACCCCCACCCTCCCCCCGCCCTGGTTCTATTGTAGGATAATTCTGATTGTTAGAAATTCTTCCTTATAATGAGTGAAGTCTGCTTCCCTGTAATTTCTACTGTTGGGCTTTGTTCTCTGGAACTAAACACAACCACTTATCCTCCTTTTCAAACTAGAGAATAAAGATCTGGTTTTAGAACCGGTGGCTGAGAAGTGTTCCTTTGTCCTGGGGAGCTGTGGAGCTGGAGGGAGTGGCAGCAGCTTTCCTCCGACGGGGTTGGGCATTGGGGTGGGTGACAGGCTGAGTGGCCGGCTTGTCAAGCTTCTCTGCACCCCACCCATACTTCCCCGGGGTGGGGTCAGGCACACTCAGCAAGTGGGGTTTCCTCTCTAGGGGTCAAGTCAGCCTTGCGGGGTGTCAGTTGTCAGGGAGAAAACGTCTGACGAATCGATTGTGTCCTGCTGTGCCTCCCTGGCTGGCCTGCTACAGTTCCCATATCTGTAGCAGACATGTACACTTCCCTGCACTGGTTACTTCATATGCATTTGAGTGCCTATTTTTGACAGGTATCAATAGGCCCTTTTACTGTCTGTCTTAGTAGTTTCTGCATAGATTTCCAGCACCTAGCCTGGTGCAACCACAACTTGTTAATACGATGGCACCTTGCAAAGAAGTTTACTTAAATTATCTAACAATTTAGAGTTCAGCA